CACACCAACACCGACTGGAAGCTGCTCGTCTTGAAGATTCTCGAAGATAGTCAGAGAATAGACTGCAGGAGTGAAGAGAACATCTTGGCTCCGAAGCAAAAACATATCTGCATATTGCCGGCTTTCTCCTTTTATCCCCACGAGGTGGGGCGGAGTTGCGCCATGCAAATTCCGCAGACCCATGGCATTTGTTTGCCATTGGCTCGTTTTGTATACTCGAAGTCGATAGGCTTTCTAAGCGAAACCCCCATTCGTCGTCATCCGACGGAACTCGGAGTGACAACGAAAGGGAACTTGATATCCAGTTTGGCCCTTGAGAAGCTTACATATGTGATCAAGGGGAAGTCTTCTGAATTTTATGAAATTTGGGAGATGTTCTTGAGATTTGTTAAAGAAGGAGATATTGAAAATGCTATAGATTTGTGAAGTTGTAGTATATAATGCTGAATGGGAGTGTCTGTGATATATAGCACTGTATGTTTAAGGAATTTTATTATTATTATTTTCTTTTATTTATTATTTATTTTTACTTTTTACTTTTTATGACTGCCAGGGTTATTGTGGAGGGGGAGGGATTTGAGTAAGTTATGTTTGTATTAAGTGTATGTTATGTTCTTATGTTAAATGTGTTGTAAAATTCAACAAAAATATGTCAGCAAAAAAAAAAAAAAGGAATGGGGGAACAAAAACAAGAAAAAATTGTATAAAAGGGATAAAAAGTAAAAATAAAATAAAAATAAAAGTTTATGAAGCAACAACGCCATCTCAAAGGAGGAAAAAATATATCATGGACATTCCAAAGAAAATTATAAACATGCATTAAAATGATGGGGTAAAAGAATTGAAAGAAAAAAAAGTTAACAATTTGTTTAAAGGACAGAGATGTAAAGAAATAAAGTACACAGTGTATATAAAAAGGAACATCTAAAAATATATATATATACAAAGTAAACAATATAAAATGAGAACAATAAATGTATAAGAAAAAAAAAAAGAAAAAAAAAAAGAACATTCCAGAGAGCATTATAAACATACATTAAAATGAATGGGGAAAAATAAATAAGTAAACAAAATGGAGATAAGCACCGTGGACATCAAAAAAGGAACAAATATACAAAATAAAACGAGAACAATAAATAAGAAATATAGAAATTAAAGTGTACATAAAATATATGTAAATATTCAAGGTGTACACTACCGTTTATAAGTTTGGGATCAGTAAGATTTTTAATGTTTTTAAAAGTCTCTTATGCTCACCAAGGCTGCATTTTTTTTATTAAAAATACAAAAGAAGAAGAGTAATATTGTTAAATATTATGACAATTTAAAATAACTTTTCTATTTGTATATATTTTATTCCTGTGATCAAAGCTGTATGTTCAGCATCATTACTCCAGTCTTCAGTGTCACATGATCCTTCAGAAATCACTCTAATATGAGGATCTGATGCTCAAGAAACATTTATGATTAAAGTTGAAAACAGTTGTGGACTTTTCAGGATTAATTGATGAATAGAAAGTTATATTTCATTTATTTGAAATACAATCTTTTGTAACATTATAAATGTCTTTACTGTCAATTTCTTTACCAAACACACAAAAAAAATCTTACTGACCCCAAACTTTTGAACGGTAATATATATATATATATATTTCTTTTTTTTTTGTGGAAATATGACTGATCCCAAAACACTGTGGCGAATGTGCTCTGCAGAAATATGCGAATTGCCCATTTAAACACAAGGTCGATAAACAACAAAACGGCACTTATCGCCGATGCCATTTTAGATAGGAAAATTGACATTCTGTGTCTTAGCGAAACATGGCACAAAGAAAATGACTATCTTAATCTGAATATGTGTGCCCCATCTGGATATAAATACATTGATGCGCCTCGTGCTTGTGGTAAAGGTGGTGGCCTGGCTGTGATATTTGGACCTAACGTCTCAGTTAATGTAATTGATGCACCTAGTGTTTCATCATTTGAATGTCTGGTTTGTAAAATCAATGGAGTTTCACCTGTTCTTATGCTGCTCATTTACCGTCCACCAAAACCTAATCCTGCATTTTTCTCTGAGTTTACTGAGTTGTTGACACTGCTTAGTCCACTCTGTCCTGCTATGGTGCTGACTGGTGATGTCAATCTTCATATTGATGATCCTAACTGTGGAAAAACTGCTTCTTTCATGGACATTTTGGATGGCTTTGATTTCACACAACATGTCACTTTTCCGACCCACAAGCTAGGCCATACATTGGATGTAGTTTGCTCTGCTGGTGTTGACATTAGATCTCTGAATGGCATAGACATGAGTATAAGTGACCATAGACTCATTACTTTTGATATGAATGTCATATCTTCACAAGCCACTTCTAAACGCACTATAAAATTTCGTAACCTCAAGAACAAAGATTTCACGTTATTTTCTACCTCTCTCTCTGGGCTTCCTATCACTAACTCCGTGGAGCACTATAATTCCATGCTATCTGCACTTTTGGATGAGTTTGCACCTGTGCGGGAACGGGTTGTTACATTTAGGAAACCATGTCCATGGTATACCCCAGAGCTGCGCTTGATGAAGGCTGCTGGAAGGCAATTAGAACGGCAGTGCAAGAAATCTGACCTGACGGTGCATAGGCTTCGCTATATTCAACAACAGTCTGAATACCACTCTGCTCTTAACATTGCACGTAAAAACTACTATTCTAACATCATTGGAAATGCTGCAACTAATTCTAAAACTCTATTTAAGACTGTTGACAATCTTCTTAAACCAACTAAGCCCATTGTTTACTCCTCTGTTGACCAGTGTAATTCTTTTCTACATTATTTCACTGGTAAAATTGATGATATATACAGTTCACTTACCGCCATCACCACAGTTGAGTTAGTTGATACACTGCCTTTACATCCCCCTATCACTACTTTTTCGAACTTTGACATGGTTGGAGTTGATTTCATTACAAATACAGTTAAGTCTATGAATTCAACCACCAGTATTTTAGATCCGGTTCCTTTCTCGGTTATTAAAAACTGCCTTGGATTAATTTGCCCTCATATGCTTTCTATTCTAAATTTATCATTGAGTTCTGGATTCATCCCTCCAGAATTAAAAATAGCTGCCATTACACCAGTCCCTAAGAAGCCTGGTTGTGATGTCTCTGATTTGTCTAACTTTAGGCCTATTTCAAACCTTCCATTCCTGGCCAAAGTTCTGGAGCGTGCTGTGGCTTTTCAGCTAAATCATCATCTAGCACAAAATAGTCTTCTTGAACCTTTTCAATCTGGGTTCAGAAAAGGGCATAGCACTGAGACCGCCTTAGTGAGGGTCGTAAATGACCTTCTAATCGCAGCAGATTCTGGTGTATGCAGTATTTTGGTCTTGCTAGACCTCAGTGCTGCTTTTGACACTCTATGTCATTCTCTCTTGCTGGATAGGATGGAAAATTGGCTGGGTATTTCTGGAGTTGTACTCAGTTGGTTTAAATCTTACTTAGCGCATCGGGCACAGTTTGTAAGCTTGGGCATGTACAAATCGGATACCGTGCCTGTGCGACAGGGAGTTCCTCAAGGTTCAGTGCTAGGTCCAATCTTATTTAATATTTACATGCTTCCACTTGGGCAGATCATCAGCAAATATGACCTTGGGTATCACTGTTATGCGGATGATACACAGATTTACATCACCACAAATCCGGATGCACATTGCTCATTAATAACTTTGCATAGCTGTCTAGCAGAGATCAGCACATGGATGCAGAACAACTTTCTGAAGCTAAATGGCTCTAAAACGGAACTGATGTTGATTGGTACAGTGGTGTCTATTCGTAAGGCTGAGCAGGTTAGTCTGTTTGTTGACTCCAGCAGGGTAACTCCCACTCCACATGTGCGGAATCTTGGTGTAATTTTTGACTCACAGCTGAGTTTTGAAGCACACATAAAACAGGTCTCTAGAACTGCTTTTTACCATCTGAGAAATATTGCACGACTTAGACCATTTCTCTCCTTTGTAGACACAGAAAGGCTCATACATGCCTTCATTACAACTAGGCTAGACTATTGCAATGCCCTGTTCTCTGGCCTTCCAGCAAAATCATTAAACAGGCTACAGTATATACAGAACTCTGCTGCTCGTGTGCTCACTCGTACCTCTCCTCGGGAGCACATTACACCGGTCCTTTCACAGTTGCACTGGCTTCCAGTAAAGGTGAGAATTGATTTTAAAGTTCTCATTCTAACATACAAGGCATTACATGGGATCGCTCCAGCGTACCTACGTGATCTTATTAGCCCTTATACTCCATCACGTTCTCTCCGCTCTGCAAATTCACTCTTATTACATCAGCCTTTGTGTAAGCTCAAGACCATGGGGGAAAGAGCTTTTTCCTGCAGAGCCCCCAAGCTATGGAACCTACTTCCTTCTACAATCAAAAGTGCGCCAACGTTGGGACAATTCAAAGGATTAATTAAGACACATTTGTTCAAGGCTACTTTTTCTTAATTGTTTTTATTGCTCTTGCTGTATTTGTTTATTTCATTGTATGCGCTTTGGGTTTGAGAAAAGCGCATTATAAATAAAATGTATTATTATTATTATTATGAGTTTTGAACATTTTTCAAACTGCCATGATGCGCTGGTGGTGTGACACGTAGCGTGGGTCCGCCTCTAGTTTGGTTTGTGGTACCTGGCAGAGAGCAGATAACTCTGTGGTTCTGTTTGGTGAAGACCTCACCATCCACACTGGCCTTCCATCAACAATAGCATCATCTTCATCAGACATCAGTTCTATTGTTGTGGCCTTCCACAGTTCCCTTTCTGTGTTGGTTTGTACAACCCTGGACCTGGTCTCCAGCAACTGCAAAACATGACAGTAACTTAACCACTAAAACACAGAGAGGAGGATAGTTACATTCTGAAGAGAGAGAAAAAAACTGCTTAACCAGTTTCTTAACTTACCCGTCTCTTTCTTTGACGTTTCTTCGCAATGTTCTTCATAGTTAGAATACTTCCTCCGCAAAGTCTCAAAATACATCTTGCAACCTGCTAAATATATCATAAATAAATGTAATGGCAATAAAAATAAGTAAAACAGAGGACATTAAAATGATTGCAACATCTTTAAGATTACCTTTTACAAATTCTTGTTCAACGTCTGTAAAAGTTGTCCTTAATTCTTCGAAGAGGTAAGTGGTCACAGCCACGTTATGTGATGAATTTATTCTGGGGGGAAAAGTTGCAGGTATCATTAATGAAATTCAGTTTTGGCATTTCAAATCCATATAGTAGTAGATTAAACTAACATTTATAGCATATAAGAAGCAGTCTTACCCGGTTTGTGGATCGTATTTGTGTGGGTTGTTCTCTGAATTATGGAGGCGCCTTACAGATTCCTGTAAAGTTTGAAATTAAAAAGCAATTAAATGGATTCACAATCTGCAAGACTGCAAGAACACAAAACTGAATTTTCAGTTCGAATAAGCTGGCCATCACAGTAACCGCAAGAGACGATACACATATCAGGCTAATTGTAAGCGAACTATGGTTTACAGCCACGTTATAGAACAATAACTGGACTTACCGCAATGCTCACATCAGGTGCCCTTTTCATTCTTTTCGAAGCGTTGTAAGGTTCTTCGTGTAACGTTAGTCTGTGCTGCTCATACTTTCGCTCAAGAGCATCAAGACGCTGGAGAGCCTCTCGGAGAAGAGCAGTCTGTGCAGCTGATCTCCGTCCAGAATGCCATGTCTCGTCAGCTTACTACTTTGCACAGCCATCAAAGTAGTAAGCTGACGAGACATGGCATTCTGGACGGAGATCAGCTGCTTCATCATGTCATTCACACTGACTGGGCTTGAGCGCCTCTATTCAGTGGAGTAGAAAAGCTCAGGTTCCTTCTATCTACACGCAACAAATTAAGATGCAGCTTCATCAGAGTCATCAGGAGCTGATCCCAAGTGTGTAGCTGAAAGCTGTTGGTGTATGCATTGGTAAGGTGCTCAGCAACTGAATGGAATGCATCCAATGCCAACCCTGTGTAGAGCTGACAAAGGTGGTCGTTTCTCAGCAGAGTTATGTACTATAGCACTGGCTCAACGCATTGTGTTCCCATTTCAGATGTAGGTGGCTTCAGGTTGAGTTGAGATATTGAAGCATAGTTGTGGTCAGAGACAGATGGATCCTCCCATTGTGTTTCTGCATCACAGGTCTGGGGCATGTGGCTGTGATCATCCTCACAGTTGTCCACTGCATCACTGACTCTCATCGATGCATCTATGGAAATAATATAACCATAAACATTTTTACATTAGTACTTAAAATAGATCATGAGAATTAATTTATGATGGCACCCATAGTTACACAGAACAGTGTGTGAGAAAGATACACTAAAAACGGCAGTATACCCAATCTCCTAACTCTACGTAGGTCAATATCAATATCTGAATGAGAGATGTAGCTAGCTGGCCTGCTAGCATCGGCAATCTCTGAAACTTACGGGAATAATGTGAGCTATTGTAAGACTGTAATGTACCATACTATCTTGTACTATCGTGAATATTCATTCATTCATTCTTTATTTCAGACCCTTAGGTCCATATCACAAAGTAAAATAAATTACATACATATATAGGTGGGCAATGGTAATCATGCAAGATTCATTGTATTTTGTTAATGGCTCGTTACTGATCTTAAATGTATTCATAGATCGGACTTCACGAATCTAAAGCTAGGCTAACAATCACACAGCTAACAGTTAGGCAAGTTAGCTTACCTGAATCTGACAACCTGTTCAACACCCGGCGTGACTTCTTTATCGGAACATCGTAGCCGAGCCATTTCTGGCGGTAAGGGTGTTCGTCAGTCGGCTTCCCGTCCATGAAATGGTACGAACACACATAAGGGCGCTTGGGTGGGCACTTCAAGTTTAGCGCCTTCCGCCATTGCCTCAGGTGCTCCTCGTCTTTAGGTGGTGGGTGTAAATCGTAAAGTGCACCACAACACCACTCTGACCGCTTCACATTATGTCCGTAACACCGTTGGTTCAATTGTTCTCTCCTCTTAATCCAATTGTTATGGCAGCCCCTAACTGAGCATATAATACTTGACATATTTTACCGTTCGTCTCAGGTCTCGCGCAGATCCCTCTCAGCCGGAAGTTGAAGTCCTTCTCAGCAGGAAGTAAGATGACAAAACGAACGCAATGGCGTCACCCTTGTTGTCGTGGAAAATAAGGCGAATAAAAGAAAACTGTTTCCAAACCTCGACCCCCCAAAAAAGAAAAAAACGACGCCATATCTATGTGCTTCCGGAAAGAATGCTGTCATTTTAAAGTATTTTTCGCGCACTTGAAGCAATTGGTTGCACCTCCATTACGTCACCACATCTGTGGTGAATTTCAAACCTCAAAACGCCCCCTTTTCTTGCAGCTTCTTTGGTTTCGGAAGTAGGCTACTTTTTCACTCAAACCACGGCCTCGGTATGACGCGTTGCAAGTGTATCTATTTAATTTTGTGAATAAATATGATGCAGCTGGACCAGTAGCGGTTTTAGGCACAGGCGAACCGAGCATTTTTTCATGTCACATGGGGGGCGGCACGAGCAGTTAAAAAAAATCCTCTGCGCCACTAAGGTTTTCTATTTTCTATCATTTCAATTCAATTATTGGCAATGGCGCCCCTGATTACTGAGAAGGTGCCGTGCACAGGAGCGATGTCAAGGGAGTCTCCTGGTTGGAGGTAACTCACCAAGGGGCCGTTCACATATCACGTCTTTTGCGCGCTCGAGGTCGTTGTTTCAAATGTAGGCGCACGGGAAGCGCGCTCATAATTGAAGCGACGCGCTCATTTTTTCCAGGAGCAGCGAGATGAAATTTTTTTAACTTTTCAGTATGGGGGTGCACCCAAACACGTGGGTGTTTTTCTCTTCTCCGTAAATAAATCTTTTAGCAGAGCTACAGCAAGCGTTTTTCTGTGGTGGAAATCCATTTGCTACTAAAACTTCTTTGTCGTTGTGTAGAGCGCAGTGCATGGTTGTATAGCAACGACAGCCATGGGAAATCGGACCGAATTTTACTATTAATAATAAAAGATAAGCTACTGTGCATTATAAATGTCAGGAATTTATCTTTATTGACTCATTCTTTTTATAAAGATGATTTAAAGGCTGAAATATGTGAGGTTTCTCTTTTTATAAAACCTTTTTTTTGTCAAAAGTTTATTTGAACGTGTGCATGTTAGTAGATAACATAAAAGACACTCCTTTAAAATTTGGCCATCATCTTTAATGTTCGAAGGGGGTCTCGCCCAGGGTGTAATTCAATGTAGAACCGCCACTGAGCTGGACATATTACCTTTCAACATGAAAGGACAACCAGCTGCTGACAATAACACAAGAAAGAGAGCTCGGCGGTTTTGCGACCACTGCAACGTTTCACATGCATTTTCACAAAAAAAGTTGTTGTTTTTTTCCCAATGAAGCATGGATTAAAGCTGCGACAAAAATATTTATAGCTAATCACTTTGGAGAAAACCGGGATGTCATTGTCCATCTCAGTTTAGATCTCATATATAATGGTGTCAATGCAGGCAGATCAATAGTATTGTTGAATATTAAATTAAATGTCCCCAAATAAGCAAAGGTGACAAATGTTGTTGTCTGCAATTTGTAAAACTTCACAATAAAATTTGAGATATTCTGAAATGTTTGGTTTATTTTCCTTTATTTGTTCCATTAAATTCCTTTGTTTATTTCATTAAATATTCAGACGTTTTTGTGAAGACATATGTTCAGACATAGTGTTTATTTTGTCCTGTTTTTATAAAAAAAAAATTGCTTAAGATACTTTTTTTCATGCAGTGGTTTTAAGGCCCTGACACAGGCGACGTGACCCAACCCTAGAGTCGGCTTTAGTCATTGCTAGGTCTTTGACATCGGTTTTGTGTTTCAGGGCCTTACAAATTTATTTATTTTTCTGTACAAAAAGCTTGTTTGCTGTAGCCTATAGTAGACCAGAGATAATTCTCAATCCTGAAGTCCTCCCCTGCCACTCTGAGAACAGCCAGCACCTTAGTGTCAGTCATTAACATATGAAAGGTCTTCACACCTCTCACACCCAGCAGTGCTTCAGCTGTATATGTCCGTGAAATTTCACGGATTCCTATATATGTCCGCATAGGTGAGGTTTCCGGGTTTGTCTGGAAATATACTGTTCCGTGTTACTCTGATCCGCTTTTTCCCACATACATCCGGCAAACATCAAATTACACAGGAGTTTACCATGCCCGGATATTGCCGGATTTGAGTCTTTTCATGCAGTGTGAGGTGCTCCAATGTTGGTGAACCGAGGATCAGACATGTGCTGGCCAAGCCGAACATGCTGCTGTCTGTTGCTGAGAAAGTCCATAATGCATCGGCAGATAGAGGGGTCCACCCCCATCAGTGACATCTTCCACAGCCGCTCAGGTAGAACGGTATTAAAGGCGGCACTAAAATCTACAAACAGCATCCTTACATAGGAGCCAGGAGAGTCAAGATGGTCCAGAGCAGGGGTCACCAACCCTGCTCCTGGAGAGCTACCGTCCTGCAGACTTCAGTTCCAACCCTATTCCAACACAGCTGCCTGTGATTATCAAGTAACTCTGAACAGCTTGATTAGCTGGTCCAGGTGTGTTTGATTGGGGTTGGAGCTAAAATCTGCAGGACAGTAGCTCTCCAGGAGCAGGGTTGGTGATACCTGGTCCAGAGCATAATGCAGTCCTAAGTTAACTGCATCATCCACTGAGCGGTTTGCCCTGTAAGCAAACTGCAGTGGGTCAAGATGGGAAGCTGTGATGGATTTGAGATGGAACAGAACCAACCGCTCCAGACATTTCATGACCACTGATGTAAGGGCCACCGGTCTGTAGTCGTTTAGGCCCACGGCACTGTTTTCTTCGGTACTGGAATAATGGTTGATGACTTAAAACAACCCGGAACCTTACATAAGACAATTGACTGATTAAAACTGAAGCTAGCTGACTAGCACAGTACTTCAGGGTGGCAGGTGAAATCCCATCGGGGCCACTCGCTTTCCTTACATTCTGCCGGCAAAATAGCCGGTACACATCCTTCTCCTCAATATCAAAGGGAGTTTGATCTCGAGGGGCCATGTCCTCCTCCTGCCTGAATGGGACTTCATGATTATGAACCAGATCCCGCCCAGAAGGGCAAGGGAAAGATGGAGGGCAGGGAGATCTCTCAAATCTGGTATAAAATACATTAAACTCGTTGGCCAGTTTAGCAGATGGAGTGACTTGTTGCATTTTATTTTTATAGCCCGTCAAGTTCTTCAGTGACCTCCAGGCCGAAGAAGAGTCATTAGTGTCAAATTGTTCCTCCATCCTCACCTTGTAGGCAGCTTTTGCTTTCCCTATGGCTTTCTTTAACTCTTGTCAAGCAAGCCTGTATTCATCTCCATTTCCTTCTCTGTATGCCTGCTCTTTGGTGTTCCTAAGCAGCCTAAAGGATTTCGTAAACCAGGGTTTGCTGTTATTATATTTCACCACAGTTTTGGTGGGAATACAAGCTTGCTCACAAAAGGAAATATATGAGCACACAGTGTCTGTATATGAGTCCATGGAGTCACAAGAGGCACGCATGGATTCCCAATCAGTGGTGTCTAAACAGACCTGTAACATCCCAATTGCCTCTGTCGTCCATCTTTTAGATGCATACTGAACTG